ATATCTGAAGTTCTGTCTCAAAATTTGAGTCTGATAATGAAGTCAGTGATATAAGGAGGTCAAAGGTCAAAATTGTGTGCAGTGGTGACCTAAATGATGTTAAAATTTGAGATTCCTGTTTTCAATGACTGACAGCAGACAGAGATTCTGAAAGGGATTATTGTGTCAAACGTGCTATGCTTCTGCAGTTCTGTATAAGGCTTCTTGTACAACTAGGGGTCTGGCTAAACCCAGGGTAATGTCAGCCAATAGGCAGTGCAGTTACACTCCTGCCTTTACATTTGGGTACCTTATTTTTACTAGATGTGGTTGAAAAATGGAACATTTTCTCAAGGCATTTATTTTACTTCTTTTATTATTTCTTTTTTTTTTTTTTTAAGATGCTAAAGTTCTAGGAGTAAGAATTTGAGAGAAAATAAAAGAAAGTTGAACAGTTATTTGAGAAATCGAATGAAGGATAAATGCACAGTTTTTCAGATCTTGCCATGTGAGAAAGGTTCGAGATCTTGCCTATATTTAGAGTAGCTGCAATAGTGGCCAGCAGCAAGTGCACGAGAAATCTTTGTAGGAAAAAATCCATTCAAGTATACAAACTGGTTCAGACATGGCGCAGTATTATTAGCATAACATTTAGAAATTATTTTTTATTTGTACTTTGCTCTTATTTCTAATGATGGGCACTTATTTAGTTAATGAACAAATGAAGCTGCATACAAAAAATCAGCTTGTTCTAATTTTGCTGATACAATGCACATTTTACATCTATATTTCTTGACTACAACAAAACTGATACATGTATTGCAGGAGTCTCTATTTGATTACCAAATCCCAGTCAGGCAGAGTCAGGTCACAAACCTCCAATGGACAGATATGTGTGAGTTTTTCAATCAAATCTGATGGAAATAAATTTGAGGCTAACATTTCCCTTTGAGATTCTTTCTATGTGTGCTTGTGCACATGATACAAGCTTTTTCATGCTGGAAGCTCTTAAAGAGTACCTTGATTTTAAGAGAATAAGTTTTCCTGTGCTGAATAGTAATAGGATTTGATATTATATAGGACAAGATCTTTGAAACTTCAATTATCACACCTGAGAAAATACTTTCATGTAAACAGCTTAAAAACATATTATTTTTTTTTTTACTTTGAAGACATTTATCTTGTGGCTTTATCGTGCTTCAGATATTTAATTTTAGTTCTGTAGCATTAAATGCGAGGGTTATTGCTATTGTTTTCTTTGATGTCTTGTTAAAAGGTGCTTATTGGATTGGGTCAAAACAGAAATAAAGGCACATGCTGATCAAGGGCAAGGCTCTGAGTCCTTTGCATGTGATACTGCTAAGGGAACAGCTCTGCAAATGAGTGAGAAGGCAGCCCCTCTGTGAAAAAGTGTGGCACAGAAGGTGGCTCTGTGAAATCTAGGAGCAGAGCACTTTATCCTATCTACAGAGATTCCTAGAGGATGGAGCTTATGGCATCTCTTTTCAGCTCTACAGACTTCTGCACCAGAACCTAGAGAAACTGTTATGCTAGATAATTTTTATATGAGGAGTGGAAGGGAAATGGGGAAAAGACATCCAGGAAACAACCTACAAGGAATTTAAGTAAATAATTTTGTACATTTTTAACTGCAAAGGTGTGAAATCTAGTCTTAGTCTCAAGTTGTTGTGTATGGAATAAATACTAGTTTAGGTATTCAGTCAGCATCTGAAATTGTCCCAAATGTCCCTTTGAAGGCTTATAATGCTTTTACCATGGCTCAGAGAAGCATCTCTAACAATCAGTAAAATCTTCCTGAAATAAACCAAGAGGGCTGTTAACGCTAGCTCAGGGAATCTACACTCTTTAAGTGATCTGCTGCCCTTGATCTGTGAGGGAAGTTGTACTGATATTAAGGGCCATTGGAAACATTGCAATTCCCGTAAGATTGCTGAGAGGTAGTTTAGGTTCTGAATGTTTGGAAAGGGAATGAATGCATGATATTTTATATCACACATAATTTATATTCTTATAAACCCTAATGATTTTAAATCCTAATGGTAATTCCATGGTGTGAATTCTTATCATTCTTCTTTTAGTATTTTCATGTCAAGTACAGAAGAATTGTGCATTAAGATTGGCACAAAAACTTATTGAAAATAAGAGTAGTGTATCTTAAAAATTGGAAGCAAAAAAAGAGAAAAACTCTGAATTTTTGGATTCTCCCAATTTTACTATGCTATGGCTAGCAGCATCAACTGCTTATGCTCTTTTGTTTCCACCCAAGTATATCTATTGAGTCCTTAGAACCCCATTTTTCAGAAATAGTTCTATTCTGTGTATAAAGCTGCTTGAGGGAGTTAAGTTACAGAGTAAGGACATAAAGGTCTTCCAGGAGAAGAAACATGGGAAGATAGAAGTCATTAAAATCACAGCATGATATGACTTATACAAGTCACACAAATAAATACTCTAGAAGTGTATGGATTTTATACACGTTTTATTTTACCTTGAAAACCAATGTAGTTTAAGCACCTAGGGACACCATAGACATTTCCTTCCCTAAAGATGCTGAAAGCACTGAACAAGTACTGGCCTGCACAAAACCATTTACATTTGATACGCTGATATAGCCTGTGGCATACAGTATTAATAATAGTTCTCATTTTTACACTCTGTCCAACCTAATCCACATAATTTGAAAAATTTTGAATCCAAAATGCTTTGTGCATGCACATGTTCCATGAACATATGTGTTTCTTTGTAGCCTCAGGAGATGCAAGTCAATATAGCTTTATATACTTTAAGAATGCTTTCCTGATTCACCCTAGTTCAGGATTTTATTGAAAATTACTTCCATTTACTCAATACTCAATTTTAAATGCTTTCTATAGCTTCATATGTTGATACAATGTACTGTCATCCTAGTCCATTTTTTCAGAAATGGCTGGTTTTTGTCATCCTTTCCTTCTTTTTAAAGGCTTTACTCATTCACTGGCTAAATCCATTCATCCTTGAAGATTAACAGTGTTCTTCCCTATCTAGGGGACTACACCCTCCACCTCTTCATTACTGGACTGCATTGTACCATTACCTTAACTTGTTCTCTTTATGGCTGCTGGCACCTATTTTATTTGATGAAGTGAATCTCTCATTATAAGCTTATTAGCATCCATGTCAAGACAATGTGAAAAGTCCTCCTCTTTCAAGACTGATGTATACAAACAAGTAGAGAATAGAAGACATGAGGAATCATTTCACTGCCACGTGAATACCTCTAACTCTAATCGACAGGGTAATTAAACCCCAAAGATATCCCAAGAAAGCAGCCTGGGTAGCTGTGATCATGCCATGTATGCAATATAGAACACATTCTGTGAAATAGGATCAAAATGGTTTCTGTGCATTTTGTGTCACCAAAGCAGCTGTCCTGATGATTCACATCCTATTAAATCCTATTTAATATGCTTTGGGCATGTCATCATCAATTAAAAATAGTTTTCATTTCAGAAAACATTTTGGAATTTTGAAACTGGGAATAGCTTCCTTTGGACAAAGACTCCTAAGGATTCTCCTCTGTAGGACCCCTGTGCTTACCTCTCACGCCTCACGTTTGTAACAGTTCAGTGTCAGGCCTCCATGGGAGATCTCTATAGGAGAAATAATTTTATTTTTCTCCTCTCTCCCAAGTCTTCACCCATAGTTTTTCCCAGAATTGCCACTTGTCTGTAGTTTCTCTGCAGTTGCTACCACATTATTTCAACTCTTCATCTGTGGATGTAATAGCCTAGTCAGAGAGCGAGAAAACCAGGTAAGTTTTCTCATGGTGGGCTTGTGAGACTCTACAGAGTGTAAAGAAATGATGATAGCTTCTTATTATAAACAACCTGCAGGTGGTGTTTTTCCTACTCTCTGTTTTCCTGTTTTCTCAATGATTGTTTATAAGAAAGCTGTTTTTGTTAATTAGCCAATCAGGTGAAATGTTGACCAATATAGTCTGTATGTATTGGAACAGTATAAAAAGAGAGAATTTTCGTATTAAAGCTGCTGCTGTGCAAACCAGACTTCTGGTGAGTCTGTGTTGGTTTTTACTCAATAGCGACATTCATTCTCTTTCTAGCTCCTATTTTTTTTATTAACCACCTTTATATCACTTGGGTTGCCTGCTCTTCTGAGTGTTCCAGCTGCAGGAACAGTGATTTTTCCATTTGTGGACAGTGAATTTGTAAGGGGACAGATGCATCAGTTGAATGCTTACACTAGACTGGAATAGAATAGTCTATCTGGAATAGATCTAAAATGATCATTCAGTTACAGTCCAACTGCCTGTTCCATTCAAGGCTGATCAAATGCTAAAGCTTGGTAATAAAGGTATTGTCCAAATGCCTCTTCAACACTGATAGACATGGGGGGAACCTCTTCAGAAGTCTGTTTCCAGGGTTTGACCACTCCAGGTAAAAAAATATTTCCTAATGTCAGGTCTATTGGGTCTGATAAGATTCATCCCATAGTAGTGAAGGAGCTAGCAGATATCACAAAAGGACCTGTTTGATTTATCTACACAATATTCCTGGGAGTCTGGGGAGGCCCCCAGTGACTGGTAGCTAACAAACACTACTCCAATTTACAAGTCCTGGCAGAGTCTTGGGTGTGCTCACAGGCCTTAGTGGATGGAACTTGCCTCTCCCCACTTCCTCCATCTCCTGCCAAGGGCCCAGGGGATGTGTCCCAGCTCAGCCTGGGACCTTCAGTCCCTGCCTGAGCCCTGCTATAGGTGTGCCCATCTCTGCCCCTGTCTCCTGGGTGGGCCTGGGACCTGCACTGCAGAGCTGCTCTGGGGTGGAGCCCTCAGACTTGGGTTGTAGCTTGTTATGCAAAACTCTGCGTTTAATGTGGCTTAACTGGTCTGTTCTATTTCCTGTGCTCATCATGAGTCAAGTAACAATGATCATTATTTTCCAGAAATGTCAAGGGCTTTTCATCTCCTAAGACACATTCAAGGACACATAATACACAGGTTATAACTGGAAACAGGATATTATTTTAATTTTTATTTTTCTTCATCTGTTTTGGAATTGATGCTCACAACCATTAACACAATGTGCATGTGTAGCCAGGATCAGGCTGATGTGTTCTTCAGTTTAGCTTTACAACCCATCCTTTGTAGTCTGGAAAAGGAAAGTGACAGAGCTACAGAATATAGTAGCAGGAATACAGGCCCAGCAGCTCTTGTTTCCTGAGGCATGAGAACACAAAGACTGACTGTACCAACCTCACACAAAAAAGAAAGCATATGTGATACTGTGGGATATTTTACAAATTATAACGCATATTGATGACAAGCACAATTTTTGCCATCCAAGATTTCCCTTGTTGCTGTGCTTCCTGGCCAGGGATGCATGGCCCGTGCTTGTGTTGCATGCAGGAGAACTGAAGAATGACAGCTCTGGATGGATGCAAGAATCCCATGGGAAATGGAGCCAAGGGAAGAGCAGAGCTCAGCCCCACTCCAGGTTTGCAATGGGCAAGAGAGCCAGAGAGAGCCAGGGCACAAGTGGTGCCTTGGAGGTGTGAGGGCAGCAGGCAAGAATGGAGTCACAGGAGCCCAGAGGAGCCCTGACAGGGGCTGTTCCCAGTGCTACAGGAGGACAAGAAGCAACCCCCAGGCCACCCTTGGGACCCACCCTGGGAGTCTGGAAAGCTTCTTGCCCACAGCTGCAGGGTATGACAGACCATCTTCATGGGGCATGAGCAGCAGGCAGCAACCCAGCCAAAAGGGACTGAAGGAGCCCTGAACAGTGGTCATGCTCAGTGCTGCAGAGGAAAGCAAAACTCCCTAGGAACCAGTGCCAGTCTGCCCTGGGGGAAGATTCCTTCTTGACCCCAGTGCTACTGATTTGCCATCCTGAAAATGGACTCTGGAATTAATGGACCCGGCAGAAACACAAATCTTCTTAGACTAGAACCACATCCCATCCTGCTCCTTAACGAGAGACCGCTGGACAGGACAGCCCAGGGTCAGCCAGGCCAAGTGCCAATAGCACAACAGATAGAGTCTCCAAGGAAGCTCAGGTAAGTCCCTGGTCCAAAGAGATGGATCACTGATTTTTTTTACTCTTTCCCTCTCATAATAAACCAAAACTCTTCAAGGGATCTTTAAGAGATCCTGCCCTTAAAAATGACAACAGCCTGTGCACAGGGAGGGGCCAGGTGAGAGCTTGGTGCTGCCCTCAGCACTGAAGGGGGTCAGTGCAAGGAAAGAGCCAAGAAAAAGCTCAGATCGACACACATCCATCTTCCTCCAACCGAGAACCCTGGATATTGGGCTCATTCATCAAAGCAGCATGAACTTGGCTTTTAGACGTTTTACTTCACACTGAACGTGAACTAAACTTCTGCTCAGTTGGCACTGGTTGAGGTTATGTATTTTGAAGGTTCAAGAAGGTAGGGATGATCCTATGATGTGCTTAGGGCTTTTTCACTCGAAGATATTTCTGAGAAGATGAGGCAGGAAAACTCCTCTAAAAATTCCCTTCTCTACCAGGCTGGTTTCGAGCTATAACTCACTTGATCACTTCCCGTAGTTTTAGTAAAAGATCCTAAGGAGAAAGAAAATGTCCAGCTGCAAGCCTGGCTGGAGTGATTTACAGCTCTCTGAAATCTGCAGGCAAAGCAGCTTGGGAAGCACAGCAAGAACAGGCAGACCTGCCCTTGCTTGGGTGGCCCAGTCTGTGGCAAGCCCTACCACAAAGGAGAGAGATTAAAACTCAGTGAAGTATAGTTTTTCTCCACATTTCTGACTGGTTTGCACAAAAATTGTGCTTGTTGCTTACTTTTCAGCTATCTATCCATTTTCAACTTTATTTTTGAATGGGATGAGAGCAACAGAGAGTTTTAATGGTCACTGAGCTAATGACCACACCATTGTGCCTCTCAACCGCAATCCCATGGGGCTGTAGAGAAGAAAAAAAAGCTGAATTTAAAAACAACCTGGCAAGTTTGTGCAGAGATTGGCATGACATATAAGGATGTGCTTACCTCTCTGAGTGGTGCAGGCAAGCAGCATCGAGAATAAAGAATATGGGCTGTCACCTCACCAGATTTCAATAGGCCAGCCCATGTGCCTGATGTACATAGCACCCTCCCGTCACTAAAACGCAAAACTAGCAGGTAACATGCTTCTAAAGGAGAAGTGCTTGAACTAATGACTTGAAACAGTTGTAAAAGTCAGAGGCACAAATAAATGATGGTACAGCATGCCCCACATACCCCATTTTTTCTCCTGATGCCATGTACCTGCAGGGGAGAAAGACATGCTAGGGCAGATTTGGAAGGCAGTCAAGGTTGCCAGTACAGAAGAGCGGACCATGATATCAGCAGTCCACACACTCCATGGTTGGCAACCTAAGGGAGCAATGCACTGTGACCTCACATCCCTCACTGCTTATGTTTGGGCACGGGCAGTGTCTGCTTCAGACTCACTCGTGTCTGGACTCCTGGCAAGCGTGCCTGGGAGGACTGGAAGCCTGTGAGGCCATTGGGAGCTGCTGTCAGCAACTCTCAGTTCTCATGCACAAGACTTTGACTGTTTCCTTAGCCCTATCTGGTTCAGGAAGCTAAGTACTGTGGCTGGTGCTTGCAGCAGCACAGGTGAGTGGTGCAGGAAATGTGCTTCCATAGGGTGGCCCTGGGGTGGGTGATGGTGTCTGGGGAGCTGTGAGTGTGTCCTTCTTGAGGGGCTTGGGCATTTCTTCTACCTGCCCATTTCCCTGGGACTGCAAGTGACCATTTTTCAGAGTGTCACGCCAACAAAGAAGGAGCAGCTGCTGTCCCCAGCTCTGCTACAACACGCAAGCATGGCCACAGAGTGGAACTGCCCCATCTGCCGTGACATTCCAGCTGAAATCGCTT